TCCCAAACTCAATTTCAAAGCCCTTGAGAAAATACTTGCCAATTTGAACTCCATCACATTTCTACTCTGTAGTGCTGGCCGGAGGCACTGCAGCTACTGTGGGACCCATACCCAGGAGGAGACCTGAAGGGCTTCAGCTAGGAATTCAGTAGCATGATCATGTTGTTGCAGAAATAACACTAAGGATGCTGTCTCCCGGCAGTGCAGATAGCAAGTTTAGATTGACTTCTCACCCAGTCAAGTCCTGTTTTTTTCACCACCTGAATATGTGCTGCACAAGTCACTTATTCACGTGCACTTTTTTGTTTCATGCCTTTGGCTCAAAAGCCACGCTATGACACTGTTCTCATTCACCAAGGGGAAAAATGCACTCTAGCTATTTCATATAAGTGAACTTTAAAGGAAAATTCATTATCAAGGTTGAGTGTAAACAATGCAGCACTTGTCACCTGATCCAACTGTAACTAGGTTATAACTGTAAAGATGTGAACAAAAACTGTTGGAATCTAATAACTAGTTTAATATTTGCTCAAAGCTCCTAGAAGGTAGAAGACTTTCCAATCCAAAAGTCCTATTGAATTTAATAAGGATGAAACTAATAAATTATGTCTCTTTTATGCCAGTCCACTGGCAGGAAGGAGCTGTAAATCAATAAATGTGTCCAGGTCGGCATTCTTCTGTGTGGGAGGATTGCACACAAGTTCATAACCAGCTGGCTTTTGCCTTTTACATTGTAGGTGGGGAAAAGGTGGCATGGTTTAAACACTGCAATACTTGGAGTACTATACCAGTCTTTTGAAGCCATAGCCATACTATTTAGAGCAGTCATAAGGCTGCTTTCTCAAAAACCAAAATCCTCCATAAGTCAAACTACTCAGAATTCACTTCGGAATCGCCACAATTAATATTTTCCATTAAAATTAAGGCTATTACATTCAGTTTTAAAGAACAGTCTGGTGCAAAAATGGCTCTTTTTATGTTGTGCCTCACCTATATTTGGCACAGGTGAGACATCATTGAAAGAGTTTATAGACATATACCATATCGTCTCTAATCACTTTTTCAAGCTGAGAAATCCCATTCTCACTAATCTGTCCTAATATGGACATTCCATGCTTCTAATAATTTTGGGTGTCCTTTTATGCACCTTTTCCAATTCTATTAATCTTGTTCTTTGGAGATGAGGTGACCAGATCAG